CGTGTCCAAATGAATTGCAGGCGACTGAAACATCTGTACAAGGTCAACTTGGTGAGCCATGAAATATAAAATAGGAATGAGAAGAAATAGGGCCCAGTTGAAAAATAGATGTCACTAGAAAATAAAATATTTTTTTGAAAGAAAACGGTTTGTTTTTTAAATTTTCTAAACATTCAACCAGTATTGCACTGTTTTTTTTTTCAATTTTGTCTAACATAATTGATTTGACAATATTTGCAGTACTTGAACAAAAAAAACGAAATTTATTCTATTGTTTTAAAATATATCAGCGCCAAATTTACATACTCCGTATATCTATTATATAAAAACAAGTCGGGTTTTCCTTCCTGACGATATAACTCCAGAACGCACGAACCGATTTCGACGATTTTGCATTCGTTGGGAAGGTCTCGAGCTCCGTGAGGTTTATAGCAAAGAAAATTTAAGAAACAAAAACAAGAAAAGAGGAAAAATTGTTTTTCACATGCAGCGTCATCTCTGATGCTTAGCATGTACTACAAACCAATATTTTAAGTAAATGGCGCCGGTAAATACATTGTTTGATAGCTACTCATTGTTCTCTGCTCAGTTAATTTCATGTGACAAACCGGCATTGATTTCACTGTGAAATTGTGAAAAAAAGTAAAAAAAAATAAGTTATTCGTTTCTTAACATTTCAATTGGAAACCATCAAATCAATCACGTGTATGTGCAAATTTTAACATATTATTAAATTTAGAAAATCATTATTTTTCACGTGGGATGGGAAACCATCCGCTTTGTTTTTGTTAATGTCAGACCAAAAAACAAAAAATGTGGTTTACCAAAGAGCACTTCAATGAAACGGATAATTGGCGGACACGTATAACGCTTCGATTCAGTATTTACTTTGGATTCACTTTCATTTTCTTAGAGAAGTTCAACTAAATAACACTTCATTTTTGTAATAGAAATAAGTTCATTACTGTTGTGAAATGAAATAATTTTTTTCCTTTACAAATATAAAACAAAAAAAAATTATTCATCTTTTAATCACCAAACGAAATGTTACATAGAACGAAACCATCTGGTGGGGAAACGAAGTTCTCCGGGTTTGCTAGTATGTATGTATATATATATATATATATATATATATATATATATATATATATATATATATATATATATATATATATATATATACTAGATGAGCAGACAGACGTTGTCCTCTACCCATGTCTACAATTCAAAAGTTTAATTTTTTTAAATGACCTATACTGATATTTACCAATTAGTTAAAATTTATTATATTTTTTACACTACATTCTATACCGAAATGTATATACATCAATACGGGTGATCTTAAATGTACAACTGCTTTAATTAACACGATGGGTCTCAGAACCCGCACTTAACCCTTTTAATTATACTGTGAAATTCAAATCAGCCACGTAACACAAACGGACAAGCAAATATTGAAATATGTTCAATGAAACAGCATATTAGAAATATAAACTACAATTTATTGAACAAATTTATTTCTAATAGCTCAATTTATTTTAATGCCAATGGTAATCCAATATTTTTAGTCATACCTATAGGTGTAGATTTATAAATGATTTTTTGTTTATTCACGACTAAAACATCGATTTTCCAGATTTATCACACAAAAATTTATCGTCCGCCTTTGTAATTTATAGCATAAGATATACATGTTGAATATTGCAGTCTTTTAAACAGTATAACGAATTCCGAAAGAATTAATATATAGTATCCGCGGTGAAGGTACAATATCACCTTGCATTTTTTCACTCAAAATAATTGCTTCAATAATGAATATTTATTGAATAATTTTTATAATCTCGTACTATGTTAATTGTTTTCAGTAATAATAATATCTAAATTACTTTTTTCTTAATAATAGTTCAATATACATTATTAAATTTATTACTTAAGTTCATATTTTAAGTGAATTAATTTATCAAATCCTGTTCATATGTGCACATTTTATCAACGATCAACGAAATTTGTGTATTAATGTAGAGGATAAAGGGTGTAACCTATTAACTTTTTTACTGTGCTCCAATTTGATATTTTGGAATCTCTTGAACCAAGTTAATTCTAGATAACTACGATTCTTTGTAATTTCGGAGGAAATGGCACTCATGAAACTATTTGATTTAAATGAATAAAAAACAGACCCTTAACAGTACTCATTTTAAAACTTATTTTGAGCACTATAAAATCCCATGGAATATATAAAATGTAACACCTCGCCGCTAGACGGTTTCAAATGCAACAATTAAATGTCGAACGAAATAAAAAACAACTTGGCTTTTCCATATTATATGTATCTTAACCCATTCGAGACCGATTGCACACCTTGTGTTATATTATTATTATATTATTTTTCTTCATTATTCAACTTATTTTTTGACTTGTTGCTATTTCTTAAAAATATTCTTTGCATTATATTCTGTTCTTCATTATTGTAAGCAACTTTTTTTTAATTACAATATTTATTACAACTGTTAAATAATTTAGCATCTAGTAACAATGATAAACAATAACATAAAATATAAACAAGAGTACAAAATAAAGGATAGTATTTTAAAATTAAATAAAAGTAAATAATGATAATAACAAAATTAATAAATAAAAGAAATAAAATAAATAAAATTTCTGAATAATAAAAATGAGACTAGAAAAACTATAAAGTGCAATAAAAACAATAAGTGACAGATAATAATAAATATAACAAAAAACAATATTAGAAATAATAAGAAAATAGTAATATTATAATAATATTAATGTTAGCGTTTACAAATGGCTATTAATGAGAACATTGGGATTTATTTTTGGGAAAGCAACATAACGATTTTATATTATCTAGTTCTAAAATAAATGTTTATCAATTTTAATTGTCTTTTTATTTTACCTTACATTGAACTGAGGAAAAATTTTCTGAGGAGCGAGTTGCACATACGGTGTGCAATCATCTTATTTCTTTCTAAATTGCTTATTTCTTTCTAAATTTTTGGCGTTTGTCAAAATTAGAACTTTCATCGACGTATGCACAAAAACGTCTGAACCGATTTCAAAAACCTAAAAGCCAATCGATTTTCATGTGGATTATCTTTCCTCAGTTTTGTGTACCGATTGGCGGAGCAGTTTCTTTGTAATTTGGAAAAAAGTGTTAAACTTTTCATCCACATTTAAGCTCATACTACCAAAGCCATTTTAAAAAATCAAAAACTGTTCGTAAGATATTAGTTGGGAATGATTCCGATTAATTTTAGGTAAAAATCTACCGATCTGTTTTTTTGTAATGAACTGTTGAAAACAAATTTGAGCCAATTTTTATGGAACTTTTTTTAGCGATATATATCATGGTCTTATAAAACTTACTGAAATATTACGGTCTTACGACAAGTAGTTTGATTTTAAAAATTAATCTCGAACGATTTAACATTGTTCCTAGGACACAAAAACACCGATTTATTAAAATTTTAATTGATATGATTTTGTTCATTACATGATTTTCGTTAAAATGTATATTTTTGGAGATATTTGCATAAAACGAAGAAAAACGCGAAAAAAAAAAGTTTTCCGTAGCCAGTAACTCGAAAAGTAATTGCTTTTTGAAAAACATTATGAAACATTTTTCTCTTATAATTAGTTCTTTTTTCGATATCCGACGTTGTTTTGAAAATGACACCACTGAAAGGAATGTCATCCTCCCGGGAAGTGGCAAAGGATTCTAATTAATTTTCACTTTGGAACTAAGATGAACCTAATTCCAAAATTTCATACAAATTGGAACACAGTAAAAACATTCAGACCCACAACTCTCCATTGACTTGAGTAAATATACCGTATCCAACGCCAAACATATGAATTTTGGACAGAATGAAACCTCTAAATCATATTTTGAATAAGTAATTTTTAACTTCCCGTGGGGTAGTTATAGTAATGAGCCGAAAATCAAAAATGAAAATTTTTGCATTTCTTGACGTTTTGAAGGTTTCTGAACATTTTGGCATATCTCAGAAAAAATGAATATGTATGTGATGTGTGTGTGTTTTGTATGTCCGCATTTTTTCGCCCACGTTTACGGGCGCACGGATCAACGGTTCTAATAAAATTTAAAAAAATAATTTCAACTTTTAACTCAGTTTATATAATTCTTATAAATATTAGACAATGTTACAATATTTATAAAAATCTATATGAAACCATTTAATATTCCTAGATCATTTCGTTACGGTACGGAAAGTTCCAGCAATTTGACTTAAGGCACGATACCACTAGTTTACCTACAAACTACATATTCAGCATTGTAAGAACACCAATTAAATAGAAGTATATAAAAATATGAGCCTCCTGTGAATATTTAGACGCGCCCGATTGATCTGTACATATTTGGACGACGCCCGACGGAGGGTTAAACTCTTACGAAAAGTTACTGAATTATAAAACTTCATTAAAGTTTGCCTACTGAGCATCTTAATGATTTGGCCACATTTGGCCATCACTAATGCTACGCCTACTTCATGTGCAACTAGGTTGAACCAAAGTATAAATGAATGAAGTTTAAATAAACATAAGAAATAAGTTTAATTGAACATAATTTCATAAAACCTTTTGATACTTTACATATGTGCCGCCGGCAATTGTTTCGTTATAAATTGCGCTTACACAAAAACTTTAAATTAAAAATGTAAAGTTTTTACGCTGATTTAAAATATTTTCTCATCGTTCACATAATGTCTAGATTAGCGCGAATATTTTAAGACTAAAACTGGCCAAATCGGTTCAGCCGTTTTTAAGTTTTAGCAAACCTGCCATAATATCGAGCGTTTTTTTTCAGAGTTTTATATATAAGAAAATATAATATAAAGTTAGTTCCTGCGCCTTCAATTAAAAACTATTTGCCAAAAATTTCTTGAATATTGCAAATCACAATTTAAGATAAGAAATACATTGCGTTGTACATGATACAATGTTGCTAATTTTCTTACCAGTTGTCAGTAAAGTGATTGGCCCGCCCTGTCAAAACATCTAACTCCTCATCAAATTGGAAATCTAATTCCTCACGTTCTATAGTCGCTACATTCACGTTTTCTGACACAATCCTATCGCGGCTTTCTTCTGTGTTGCGCTCCTTGGCACTGGACTTAGATCGTCTTTTAACCTAAAACATTACCTTATCATATCCGCGCAAATGAAATTAAATAAAAGTCTATTTACCTCTTTCCATACATTTGTCACTCGATCGATTGTCTCAACGTCAGTAAAATCTGTATCTAAAAAATGAAAACAACTTTTTAGTGTATACAAAAATAAGATTTATAGACAGTATCAATTAAATAAAACAGATCCGAAAAATTAATATATTCTTTTTAATTAAAAAATTAAAACAAATAAGATTAATTAGTTGTATTATCAATTCTTGATTGAATAAGCACTGATACAAAAGTATTGTATAGCTTTTATATTTGGAATAAAGTGAGTATATATTCATTCAATTGTATATATCAATATATATAAAAATTAATGTACATTTGTCTGTCTGAAATTGTTCGCCGTGAAATTTCGTTTAGGTAATTATTAGGTATTTTCCCAAACATGTTTTCAAATAATTTTTTGAACCCGAGTATTAAGGGGTTGGAGGTAAATATTTTCTGAAAATTTCATTTAGATCCCATAATTAACTTGCCGTATGGTAAAGTTATAGTAATTGTAAAAAAACGAAAATAAAATTTATTATATATCTTTACGTATCAAAATTTTTTTGAACATTTTCGCATACCTTAGAACAAATGTGTGTGTGCATGAGTTTGTGTGCGGATACAAATTTTCGTCGATGACTTTGGGAACACGGATCAATCGATTTGAATAATTCAAAAATATTCAATTCGTATCGACAAGAAGCCGTGCTGATAAGAAGGCAAAAGCAGGTTTAGCCGTTTCAAAGACAAGCGGCAAAAAGAGACAAAAGAATTCGATTCGAAAAATCGTAATTCAGTTTTTGAGAGAACGTAACGTTCGATTTGAATAATTCAAAAAACATTTTAGGGGGCGTCTATTAATCACATGAGGTTTTTAGGAGGAGGAGTGGTTTGACAAAAATTCACAAAATATCGCGTGGGGGAGGGAGGAGTATAGTGAGATATCACGTGTATTTAATTTTTAACAGATTTTTAACTTCACGAAGGAGAAGTTTATGTTTTCATAAAAAAATCCGATTCGCTAATTTTATGTTTTCTCGACGTGTCAAGCCATTCTGAATCGAATGAGACCAAATTTGGAAAAAGTTTGTGTGTGTGTGTGCGCGTGCACCAACAGATTTTTTGCTGTAAAGTTTTCTCAAAAAACGGCTGGACCGATTTCAAAAATTTAAAAACCATTCGATGTATCTCGATGAGGACGATCGGCCAAGCCGTTTCTTCGTAAATAGCAGAAAAGTGAAAAGTTTTTCGTCCACGTTTTAGCCCGCAATTCTGAATCGATTTTGAAAATTCAAAAATCGTTCGAAAGAAATTGGTTGGGAATCGACCTGATTAGTTTTTGGTAGAGATCTGCCGGGCCGTTTTCTTGTAATAAGGTGTCAAAAAAAATTTTTTCGTCGATTTTTATTATTATTGTTTTGACGGTAGATACCATAGTCTTCTAGACTAGATCATACTAAAATATTACGGTCCTACGACAACTCGTTTAGCTTTAAAAATTCGCCAAAGATTGCAAAAAATAGTATGGTATTTTTGGCATTTGTCAAAATTAGAATTTTCATCGACGTTTGCTCAAAAACGCCTGAACCGATTTCAGAAATTTAAAAACCATTTGATGTATCTCGATAAGGATTATCGTTTCTCAGTTTTGTGCGACGATCGGCCAAGCCGTTTCTTTGTAATTTGGAAAAAAGTGTTAAACATTTCGTCCACATTTAAACTCATACTACCAAACCGATTTTAAAAAATCAAAAACTGTTCGAAAGATATTAGTTGGGAATGATACTGATTAGTTTTAGGTGAAAATCTACCGAGCCATTTTCTTGTAATTAACTGTTGAAAAAAAATTTAAGCCAATTTTCATGGAACTTTTTTGGGCGATATATATCATGGTCTTATAGAACTTACTGAAATATTACGGCCTTACGAAAAGTAGTTTAATTTTAAAAATTAACGATAAATGCTTGGTCTTAATGAACATACTAAACAATTAAAGTCCTATAAAAAAACTGGCTCAATTATAAAAATCAGGGCCGGTCCTGCCTTGCATGCCATGCATGCAAAAAATGCGGGCGCACGCCTTAGGGAGCGCCAAAACGAGATTCGAAAACAAAATAGATTATAATAAACAATCTAACTTAACGGATTCGGAGACACAAAAAGCATACTCAGTTTGCAATGTGATATCAGTAGAAACAATTCATTACTCTGCAAATTAGTACATTATTGCTCTGCTTATTGTTACTTATTACATTTTTCTTCGTTTGAAGTTAATGCGAAATCAAAAAAGAAATGATCTAGCGTTCAATTCCGCAAGCGCAAACCTACGAAAATTTAAATTATTGGGCATTATTGACGAAATATTGCTAGCTGATTTAGTTTGAACGGAACTTGTTAAAAAAATAGATACAAATTATAATGGAGAAATATGGAAAATGGGAAGTCAGTGCTTAGAAAATGGCTTATTAAGACCGATAAACTGAATAGTAACTTTTGTTTTTGTTGAAAATGTTTCGCATCTGATGGCGCAAATATAAAAAATGGATGCAAAATATGTAATATGTAATTTCTTTGCATCTTTCAAAATACGTTAAAATTTTAACTTTAAAACAACAATCTGATATTCTGAATCAGATGGGAAAGTAAATATGAATACAATATGGTCCTTACGATATCAATAAGGAGAAGTTTACGATGCAATTTTAGATATTGTAAACAATGAAAAAAAAAATTAAAATAAAATTTAAAAAATCCAACATGAAAAACGAGTGTTATGTTTAAAAATGAAATAAGTAAACTGTTTCAAAACACAAATATTAATATTACACATATATATGTTAGAAATACTTGAAAATGTAAAATCTTTTATTATGGTCAACCCGCAAATCGCTTCGAATTTCTAAATAAAATTAAAATCAATGTATTTTATACGCTTTTAGATTATATCTAATTTGTGTGTGCTAAATCTAGAATGATTAAAAATGGATTTAAAAAAAATACGTAAATATTTATTTAATTTTAATGATAAATGTAAAAACAGGTAAAATTATTAGAGGGGGGGGGCGCTAGAACAAATCTTGCATGCGGGCGCTGAGGACCCCAGGACCGGCCCTGATTAAAATTATTGATTTTTGAAAATTTTCTTTTAAAAAATACTCCGACCGGGTTGACGTGTTCGATTTTCAATAATGTGTAATAAGTCCACTTCGAATACTTTTAACTACTCATAAATTAATTTATCTATCATGAATTAAGTCGCTTATTTACACAACTCGGGAAGTTCATGTAACTTGCCTCAAGGCAAAATACCAATACCAACTAGTTTTTTTAAAAAAATCAAACATTTTTTAAAAAAAATGAAAATTTCACAGTTTTATCACGTAACTAAAATTTGGGGCAATTTTGAATATCACCATGTATCACCAACGGGGAGGGAGCGGGGTCCAAAAATCTTTAAAAACTCGCTCACGTGATTAATGGATGCCCCCTTATAAATAAGGGCCTTATTTATATTGACTAAACAAAGAGCTGTTTAAGTTTTGGAAAGGCAGGTTCAGCGGTTATGGACTCCAAATAAAAACAGATTAAAAACGTCATTTGGCGGTTCAAAGTTCATTAGACATATGCACATCAAATTATCAGATATTTTATAGAGATTTCAATAATGTGTACACATTTTGTGTCAATTTTAAGGGTTTCGTACCAAGACTTTTAATTTTGAGGTTCATTTACATTACATGGTTCAAACAAATGTCCTCGACATTTTTGACAGTATTTTTTCAAAAAGGCCTTTTTTGCGTCGACGAAACGATTGTTTTTCGGCAAAGCAAATTTTTCGAATTCGCAAAATATCGGATGCTTAGTTCTTTCAAAAACTGCCAATTTTTGCACATTTGCCTCTGTGTCTCCGAAACGGCTGGACCTGCCTTTGCCAAAAACTAATCAGCATATCTCCCTATCAATAGAAATCGAATGCTTTTTGAATTTTTCAAATCGGTTCATCCTTACGCCAAAAATCGTCGACGAACAATTGTCTTCACACATACATACACACACACATACATCCATTTTTTTGAGGTATACTAAAATGTTCAGAAACATCTGAAACGTGAAGATACGCAAAAATTTTAATTTTTGATTTTTGGTCCATTACTTGCCCTAAGGAAAGTTATTAAAAATATGAAACATTTCACGGCTATTAAAAATATAAACTTTAAATAAATATGAAATTTAAACTCAAAATAAAAAATTTGAACTTGAAATATGAGTTACAATTTTATCAATAAACAGAAATAATCTTTAAAGTCTTTCAAATGCCTAATCGTCTAAATTAGCTTCAAATCAGGTTCGACTGAGAATTTTATGTGTCTTAGAAGCTTTAAAAACTTAGTTAATATACTATTGCGAATTTCTTTTAAAGCCTTCTCCATGGTTATGGGTGAATATTTAATTGAAGCCTTCGTTCTTTAAAAAATTGTAAATCTATTTAAAATAATACCCATTAGTATTTACTAATATTGATTATAATTTTAATAGATTTTAATGAACTGTATTATACTATTAGAAACCTCGGTTCGTCTCGAAGCCAAAATCGATTTTGAAAATTCCAAAACCGTTCGAAAGATATTGGTAGGGAAAGATACTGATTAGTTTTTGGTAAAGATTGGCCGGGCCGTTTTCTTGTAATAAAGTGTTAAACTTTTTTTTTCGACGATTTTCATAAAAAAAATTTTGACAATAGATACCATAGTCCTGTAGATCATACTAAAATATTACAGCCCTATGACAAGACGTTTACATTTAAAAATTCGTCAAAGTGTGCAAAGATTAGTATCGTTTTTTTGGCGTTTGTCAACATTAGAACTTTAATCGACATTTTCTCAAAAACCCCTGAACTGATTTCAGAAATTTAAAAGCGATTTGATGTATCTCGATGAGGATTATCGTTTGTCAGTTTTGTGCGTCGATCTGCCAAGCCGTTTCTTTGTAATTCGAAAAAAGGTGTAACTTTTCGTCCACATTTAAGCTCATACTACCGAAACGATTTTAAAAAATCAAAAAATGTTCGAATCAGA